TAGACGTATTAATGTACTGCATAAGAACAAAAGTAAAAGGAGAGAAACACGCCAAAGAAAACAAGAAGTAACAATTATAACTTATTGTCCAGTTCTCTCTCATTTCAACATGTTCAGCTTATGCAAACATTAGGTCAGACCAGAAAGTAACACATTTCTGTTTCAGTTCACCAGTGCTGACTTTCTCAACAAAAGCTGAATGCAAATCTTGTAACAGTATGTATAGCAATGTAATAGGGATAGAACGAGGAATGAATAATGATGAATCAGAATTCAGAATAACTGATGCATTGTTTTGAAATGTACCAGAATAAACTCCATTACTCGCATTTCCAGTTTACTTAGATGTGAAGGTCACCGAGGTTCAAAGTTATGTGGTGTTGGCGACATACATAGGTGACACGCCACCAAAGTTCACTGCAGAAGTCTCAATCAGACATTGCAGCTTTCAGCAGACTAGCATTCTGGATATAGCTAACTGACAAACCCATGAGTACATGGCTGATTACCAAATTACTACATAATCCACATTAAAGATGTTACTTTAGTAAACTTTCATTTATAGTTACAGAAATACAAAAGGTAAAATTCACAGCACATTAATATGAACATCACAAAGTGCTTCACAAAAAAATGATAAAACTTTAAAATGAAATGTTACCACTTTGAATATAATTTGTTCTACTGATATTCAGTTCCTAAACCAGGGGAAGAGAATGAAGGAGGAGCTTCTTCCCCCAGGCTATTCGGGCCTGAACCAGGTGTAGGACTGGACTCTCACACACGTCACCACACGCACCACCACACATTTCCTATAATCCTATAATTCCTATAATTTATAATCCTTATCTTTATAATCTCTTCTGCTATTTGCACATTCTTTACTGTAAATTCCTAAGTTAATTTGTAAATTTTTGTAGTAAATTGTAAATATTGTAAAACTTTTCTTCTGTCATTTAATGGTCGGGCATTGTACAGCTACAAGCATTTCACCCCCATGTCATACTGTGTATGGTTGTGTGTGTGTGACAAATAAAATTTGAATTTGAATTTGATTTTAAACCATGTGCGGACACTTATTGGAGCTGATATACTGACTATGGATGCCCTATTACACATTCAGCAGATGCAGACTGACATTTTGAATGAGGTGGCCACTCTGTGAATGCAAGCATTAAAATCCATTCTTTTGTTAGCTTCTTCCTATGATTACAATATCTGCCTCTTCAGCAGCAAAATGCTGTGTGTTCATCACCTAGTTGCCAACTAGGGCTGTGCGATATGACCAAAACCTCATATCCCGATATAAGACATCTATCGTCCGATAACGATATAAATCACAAAAATGTAACATTTTCTGTAAATTCTGTGAATCTCGGGCAGCTCGACTTGCGGGAAGTGTTTCCAGCTGGCAGTGTACGGAGTAGTGTTTTAACCGATGCATGAAACTGATACATTTTTAGACATAAGTTGTAGCCAGCTTTTCTTTGGTATTTATTACAGCTGCTTGCACAAGCTGATTCATGTTATTTTGAAAAGTCTCAACAGGATCTTGAGCTTTATTGTGAAAGGTTTATGTGGAACATAAACAAGCGGACACGCGGTGGTTTACCGTCGTTGTTGCTAACCACAACGGCATAAAAACAGTGCTTGTCCGTCGTAGTGTGGTTATATTAAATATAAGAGAAGAGAGAACTTTAAGAAATGAATATAGCCACTACAGTGACCATCAGAACAATGAAAAAATATGCTGTAAACAGTTTATTTTGCGACACCACAAACAAACGATAGCGTAAAATGAAACGATAGATGTTTTTATACAGTCATCCGATATATATCGTTATATCGAACAGCCCTATTGCCAACCTTGTTTTCTGTTTAGACAAAGGCTTATTAGCGGTTAGGGGATCAACAAAATCAAGAGACTACTCTGTGGGCTCATCACCGGGTAAATAGTAGCTGTGTTTACATTGAAAATCTTAATTGTGGCTGCTTGAGAGCCATGAATTAGATCAAAGTTATTCAGATATTAGAGTATCATGTTTTTTTTCTCTGCACACGTGTCTCTTTAGAGTTAAAATCTGGAACCAGATCATAGAACCTAAAGAAGAAAGAAGGTGACTGGACTTCTCGGACGTTTTACGTCTCAGTCGAGAACGTTCTTTCGTTCTAAAACCAAATGGTGGAGAGTACAAAGCATTTAAAATCTAGTTGTTGACGCCACTATTGTCATGTGGCTCATCAACATGGGTCCAAAGTGTAAAAAAAAAAAAAAAAAAAAAAAAAAAAGGCATAAGTCATTATCAGCAGCTGATACGGACACAGGCTTTCTTTCTAAGCTCTTTAGAGTATCAGCCAGGCACTGAGCAGCTGTGGTATTCAACATGTCCCATCAGGGACGGACACGTCGACTTCTCCAAGAATTGAATCTGCAAACCTTCTTGCTGCAGATGCTCAATCGCCTACAGGCTACTTTTTGCTAATCATGTGCGTTCATGCTCCATTTCTCCTTAACATCATCTCACTGTCCCAGAACCTCCCGTCCACATGAATCAATCTACTCTACCTGAGTAGGTTTAACACGCTGACAGAATGAGGAGCTGCTCACTCGAAGGAAAATCACCAACTTGCCCTTATTGTCCACTTGCTACCCACCTGAGAAATAAACCACACTCTTTCTCTGGTCTTGAATAAATCATTTTCGGTCATACCTCTGTCAGTGCGCCCCAGGGTGGCTGTGGCTACAATGTAGCTTGCCATCACCAGTGTGTGAATGGGTGAATGACTGGTTGTGTAAAGCGCTTTGGGGTCCTTAGGGACTAGTAAAGCACTATACAAATACAGGCCATTTACCATACTGACTCCCACCTGCCACAGATCCTGCGAACCAGCAGAGAATCATCGACGGAGAACTCGATCACAGAGTCCAGCTTCTCGTCTCTCTTGTCCAACAAGTCATCCAGCTTGAAGAGACAAACACAGGAAGTCAAACATAACTAAAATCTGCTGCAAAGTACAAACTGACTTTTTTGACAACCGACTGTATAACACTACTGTTTTTAGGTTTATGTAATTAAACTTTAATAAAAGCTTTGTTTTTCTCTGTGAAGTTTGAAGAAACTTAAAGTAGATGAGGACAATGTTCACAAAACCCTTTTAAACAGATTAATTATGCCACCTAAAACTATTTGCATCCATTAATTTTAGCCTGGTTATTCTGAGTTCTAGGTTTAATATATTTGAGAAAATAGTTTTAGAGTTTGTGTGTGTTATCAGTTTGTTAGGAAAGTTGAAACTGAAAAAAGAAAATGAAATGTAGACACTAGAAAAAGTTGCATTTCCTGTGAAAATGCAGTATGAATGCCGTATTGTGGAATCTGCTAAAAACAGCAGAAGAAGCAGAAGTGTCTGCTGAAAAGAGGCGAATAAGCTGAAATTTGTGCTAAAAGAAGTGAAGAAGCTGAAATTTTTGATGAAAAGAGTTAAAGAAGTTGAACGGTTTACTGAAAATAAAATGTTGCCATGAGTAGGATTCGAACTAGGGCCTCCCGCTCTCAGAACGGCTGTTCATCTCACTGAGCTAAAACACAGCTCACCTCGGCGAGCTAAACTGGTGATCACACTTATAATAAAATAAAAAAAGTATAAAAGTTGTGAGCACCAAAAGCTGAAAAAGAAACCTACCAGCATGCTCAGTTCTCATGAATCAACATTAAAACTAGTTTGTTTAATCTCTTCATTAGCCAATCTGTATTTAAAGTAAAGCAAACTGCACGATGCTCATGAATTATTAAATCAACATTAAAAACGCACCAAAACACTAATAAATTAAGTCCTCACCATCTCTGCTTGTTTGACCGTTCGGGGGAATCCATCCAACAGGAATCCGCTCCTGCAGGCCGGCGACTCAAGGTTCTTCTCTATGAGCTCCACGACCATCTCATCGCTGACCTGCAGGGACACAAAAACTCCTCTTTATCAAGCAACAATATTTTGGCCTTATACATTTATTTCATGTCAATACAAAATCTTTTTATACAGCAACAGGAAATGGATATTAAAGTGCACAACAAAAAAACATGATACTCTAATATCTGAATAACTTTGATCTAATTCATGGCTCTCAAGCAGCCACAATTAAGATTTTCAATGTAAACACAGCTACTATTTACCCGGTGATGAGCCCACAGAGTAGTCTCTTGATTTTGTTGATCCCCTAACCGCTAATAAGCCTTTGTCTAAACAGAAAACAAGGTTGGCAATAGGGCTGTTCGATATAACGATATATATCGGATGACTGTATAAAAACATCTATCGTTTCATTTTACGCTATCGTTTGTTTCGTGGTGTCGCAAAATAAACTGTTTACAGCAATATTTTTTCATTGTTCTGATGGTCACTGTAGTGGCTATATTCATTTCTTAAAGTTCTCTCCTTCTCTTATCTTTAATATAACCACACTACAGACGGACAAGCACTTGTTTTTATGCCTTGTGGTTAGCAACAACAACGGTAAAACCACCGCGTGTCCGCTTGTTTATTTTCCACATAAACCTTTCACAATAAAGCTCAAGATCCTGTTGAGACTTTTCAAAATAAACAGAATCCCCGAGGTCCCCGCAGCACGCTGTGTAATAAATACTCACAAAGAAAATGGCGGCCGTTACAACTTATGTCTAAAAATGTATAGTTTCATGCATCGGTTAAAACACTCGACTCCAGCTACACGACGCCCAGCTGGAAACACTTCCCGCAAGTCGAGCTGCCCGAGATTCACAGAATTTACAGAAAATGTTACATTTTTGTGATTTATATCGTTATCGGACGATAGATGTCTTATATCGGGATATGAGGTTTTGGTCATATCGCACAGCCCTAGTTGGCAACTAGGTGATGAACACACAGCATTTTGCTGCTGAAGAGGCAGATATTGTAATCATAGGAAGAAGCTAACAAAAGAATGGATTTTAATGCTTGCATTCACAGAGTGGCCACCTCATTCAAAATGTCAGTCTGCATCTGCTGAATGTGTAATAGGGCATCCATAGTCAGTATATCAGCTCCAATAAGTGTCCGCACATGGTTTAAAATCAAATTCAAATTCAAATTTTATTTGTCACACACACACAACCATACACAGTATGACATGGGGGTGAAATGCTTGTAGCTGTACAATGCCCGACCATTAAATGACAGAAGAAAAGTTTTACAATATTTACAATTTACTACAAAAATTTACAAATTAACTTAGGAATTTACAGTAAAGAATGTGCAAATAGCAGAAGAGATTATAAAGATAAGGATTATAAATTATAGGAATTATAGGATTATAGGAAATGTGTGGTGGTGCGTGTGGTGACGTGTGTGAGAGTCCAGTCCTACACCTGGTTCAGGGCCCGAATAGCCTGGGGGAAGAAGCTCCTCCTCATTCCTCATTCCCCACTGGTTTAGGAACTGAATATCAGTAGAACAAATTATATTCAAAGTGGTAACATTTCATTTTAAAGTTTTATCATTTTTTTGTGAAGCACTTTGTGATGTTCATATTAATGTGCTGTGAATTTTACCTTTTGTATTTCTGTAACTATAAATGAAAGTTTACTAAAGTAACATCTTTAATGTGGATTATGTAGTAATTTGGTAATCAGCCATGTACTCATGGGTTTGTCAGTTAGCTATATCCAGAATGCTAGTCTGCTGAAAGCTGCAATGTCTGATTGAGACTTCTGCAGTGAACTTTGGTGGCGTGTCACCTATGTATGTCGCCAACACCACATAACTTTGAACCTCGGTGACCTTCACATCTAAGTAAACTGGAAATGCGAGTAATGGAGTTTATTCTGGTACATTTCAAAACAATGCATCAGTTATTCTGAATTCTGATTCATCATTATTCATTCCTCGTTCTATCCCTATTACATTGCTATACATACTGTTACAAGATTTGCATTCAGCTTTTGTTGAGAAAGTCAGCACTGGTGAACTGAAACAGAAATGTGTTACTTTCTGGTCTGACCTAATGTTTGCATAAGCTGAACATGTTGAAATGAGAGAGAACTGGACAATAAGTTATAATTGTTACTTCTTGTTTTCTTTGGCGTGTTTCTCTCCTTTTACTTTTGTTCTTATGCAGTACATTAATACGTCTAATGATCTACAAAACAAGTCTCAGAACACTCAGAATGAGACTGAGCCCTGAATTGAAGCTGACCCACACGCAGACGTCTCTTCAGACATTCATCGGTGTCCCCTTTCTTCACTATACCCACTCCGCATTATTCACACGTCACGCTGAGTAGAAAGCATATCTAGTTTACAGAGAGTCATCTTTCTCTCTGTGGGGGTCCTTTTTGAAGAGACTGCTGCCTTTTCAAGCCCAAGTAGGACAAGGGCATCATGTGGGATGGGAAAAAAAGGACAGTTAAGTAGTTAATGAGTCACCGTGGTTGTCAAACCTCCTTCACTCTTGCTCTGATTTCTTTAACGTCCTTGTCCTGTGCTCTGCTTCTGCTTACCATCTTCCCTCTGTTTCCCCAGACTAATTCATCAGCCGAGCGGCCGCTCCTACCACGAGGAGTTCAACCCCCCCAAAGAGTCCATGAAGGATGACGTAAGTACTTTCCACCCACTTAGAAACCATTTCTGGCTAAACTGCCACCCACCGAAAATGACTGCCAGCCTGGAAACCAGCAGAAAGATTTAGATCAGTGTTTCCATGCATTTTAGATTATTCAGTACATTTTCTCAATTAAATAGAGCCACTAATCTGCTCTTAAAGAACAAACTGTATCACAAACGAGTGGAGCAAACAAATCAACTGGAACAAATGTTGATGTTATGCAAGGATGGCAAGAATAAACACAAAATGCTGTTTTTAAATGATGATTTCATTTATTACCTGAAAAAAACTATCCAAACCTACCTGACCCTGTGTGGAAAAGTAAGTGACGCCCCCCAAAATCATGAATTAACTGTGATAAACCAGATTTTTCTTCAACCTCTCTGATAAAGCAAAGTAGGCTAAAAGATTGCATCATGATCACAAGCAACACGTCTTGCCTAAAGATGTGTCTAAAGAAACAACCGAGAAACAAAGTCTGTGTCTGGAAAGTGTTACAAAACCATTTCTAAGGCTTTGGGAATCCAGCAAACCACAGTGAGAGCCATTATCCGAAAGTGGAGTAAATTTGGAACAGTGGTGCACCAACATAGCGATTTAACAATAAGAAAGAGACTGGGCAAAAGTGGCATCCACGGGAGATGAACAAAAAAGGCTCGTCTGATATTTAGCAAATGTATCTTGATGATCCCCAAGACTTTAGAGAAAATATCCTGTGGCCTGATGACACAAAAGTCAAACTTTGTAAAGGTTTGAATCCTGTTACATGTGAAGTAAAATGAACATGGCATTTTATTATTATTATTTTTAACCAGCAGACAAACATGATGTAGTGTGATGGTCTGCTTTCATGCTTCAGGCTCTGGATGACTTGTAACTGATAGAAACATGAATTCTGCTCCTGACCAGAAAATCCTGGAATGTCAAGCCATCATTTTGTGCCCTGGGTTACTTGAGTTAAGCAGGAGGACTATGATCTGAAACACACCAACAAGTCCTCCTCTTATTGGCTCAAAAATTAAAAAAAATGTTTTGCAGTGGCCTGGTCAAAGTCCGGACATAAACCTGATTGAGATGTTTTGGCAGGACCATAAACAGGCCGTTCATTCTTGTACTCTCCAATGTGGCAACAATAAGAGTGCGTCAATATCCTCCACAGCGATGTGAAAGACTGATTGCGAGTTATACAAACACTTAAATCCAGTTCTTGCTGCTGCTGATGGCACAACCAGTCATTAGGTTTAGGGGGCAAATACTTTTCACTGGCTGTTACTCAGTATTGGGTTGAATACTTCACTCCTTCATTTTATTTTCTGCATGTGGGAACTTGTCTGCTGGCAGCAACTGAATAAAATTTGTGTGGCGACGGCGAGAAGTTCCTTGTCTGCGCTATTGCAACAGGAGATTATGACACATGTACTAAATAAAAGACCAAAGGTCATGTATTAGGCCATCTACTAACTTGATTTTTAAAAATGCTAACAAGTTGTTTCAGCCTGGCAGATGGCAAAAGTTCAAAGTAGAGTTCAACCAGTGTGTGAGTAGACGAAGACATGGCGTTGACCATGTCTGGGTTTATCATACAGAGACCACTCGGGTAGCTTAACACCTCCCAAGTCTCTTTGCTGACTTATATTTAGCTCATCTATGTTAAGGACTGATGAGCTTATAAAATGAGCTATCTGTCATCCACCCACGCGTCACAAGAACCAGTACTCCTACAGTGTTTGTCAGAATTTAATCAAACTTGATGAACAGTTAGCAGGTCTTCACCGATACCCAAAAGCTGAGTCGCTGCCTGCCAGCCAGTGTGTCCTTTCTCACGTTTTCCTTAAACACTTTTCCACTCTTTACGTCTCCATTGTGGTAGTCCATGATATCAGTTGGCTGCTTTACAAAGAGTTTCTGATTCAACAGTCCACCGTTCTCAGATTCCACCTGCACTTTAGCTGTGACTGTAATTGTTTGTCTGCTCTTCAGCAGACTGGAGGGCTTCTTTAATCAGAATGTGCTGCAGGTGGAAAACAAGTTCAGGTGGCTGTAGGGCAGAACAAGGACTACCAAATTACAAACACTACCTGTGTTTATGTGCATGGAGGGTTTAAGGTTTGTGGTTCGATACCTGGCTGCTTCAGTCTGCATGCCAAAGTGTCCTTGGGCAAGTTGTTCTCCAATGCATTCATTGGAGTATAAGTGTGTGTGAATGTTAGATAAGAACCACTAATGTGTAGAAAAATGTGTTTGCATACATGAGGCATGTTTCCTCTTTGAAATGTAGTATTCGATGTTCATTTTCACACATCCTGTTACTAATAAAGTGACATGAGTCACATTAGAAGTGTCTGCTCTTCAAATAAACTCAAGTTGAAGTTTTTCTTTTTTGGCAGTCTAACCATGCTCCGTCTGCACACATACATGAAAAAGGGGAAGCAATACAACTGGAAGTTATAATCTCATGTTTCTTTCTGCTGTTGAAGATGCGGAGAAACAACTGTAGAGAGCTTTGAAGTTTTCCTGAGATTTCTGTGGATTAAGGAATGTGCAGCAGAGAGACTTAATTTTAATTATTCAGTTTCTCCTTTGGGTTTTATACTTGACGTTCCAACGACTGTACAGTTTTATGCTTTAGTGAAAATTGCAACAATTCAGTCTGTGTGTGCAGATGTTTAAGGTGCTGTTGAACCTAATGTAGCAGAAACTAGCACCAAGCTGGTTCGTGTGTGTGTGTGTGTCGTTTGAGCACACATTTTGCACCTTGCACTGTTGTGATGTGGTAATCATGGCCTGACATAATCATGGCCTGACATTCATTACATTACATGTAATGAATGTCAGGTGTGACTGGACCCACAAGTACTGCGTAACACGAGTGTTTCAAAAGTGGGACATGACTGCTGCTGCACCTTGGAGTTGTTTCGGCGTGTCGTTCACCTCCCAGCTTTTGTAATCAGGTGCTGACAGCAGGCACGAGTCTGAGTCTTGTCGTACGTCAGTACCAGAGCACAGGGACTCACAGCCAGCACAGGGGGAGATTAATGCGATAGCTTAAAGGAGAGATTCTGCAGAAAAACATCAGATCCTAAGTCGGTGCTTTGATTCCTGTTTCTGCTGTTTTTCTTTTTTCTTTTTCTTTTTAAAAAAATTAGTTTGAGGAACAACAGCTTTTGTAGTTATGGCAACGTGGTAGAAACCTGACTGCGAATGATCATGTTGCTATGTTGACATCCCAGTGCACAAAAGCAATGTTTAATGGTCAATGAGTGACCAGGGCTTAATGCCAGTCCTATTTGTGCGTCCACATGCATTGCATTTAACTCTATATTGGCACAAAAAAACAATTTGGATTGAAAACTCATTGGTGCTGTGCCTTTTATGGTTAATTGAAAGATGTTTGGTGAAACACTATATTTAGTATTGAAACAGAAACAACAAATCAAGTGTTCACAAGGTTGGGGGGGGGGTTTCTCCCCTGATGAAATATTGTACCAAGCACAAATTGAGAAAAGTTTCGCTTTGAAAACTGTCGAACGCTATCTGCTCAGTTTCCGATGCAACAGTTCATTTGTACAATTTACAGTTAAATACAGGACGTTTTATATTAAATCAGATATTACTTTTTTTAATTACATTCCAATTACATTTTATTTGTATAGCACCAAATCACAACAACATTTGCATCAACTCACTTTATGTTGGAAGGTAAAGACTGTACAATAAAATAGAGACTGAAACAATAATATAACTCATAAAGTAAAATTGTATGCATTTTGGATTAGTCATGTGATATTTACTTTTCTTTTTTAATCAGTTGCACAACCGATCGTGTTGTCGGGCATTTCTACTTTTAACGTGCTTTACACTTTGTATGCAATTTTTTTTTTTTTTAAATAAAGCAAAAATTTCCAAAAAATCCTGTTCTGCTCGCTTACAGAGTAGAAACAAAGAAGAAGCCGTTGTGTATGCAAGAAAGAAGGCAGAAGGGATAAAGATCTGCGAACTCAGAAGAACACAGTTTCTGATTCGTCTTATGTGTTTTCTTTTTTTTACTCTGCACTCAGGTGACGGGTGAGCCCCTGATCCGCCGCAGCGATGACAACGAGAACACCCTGCGCTCGCGCCTGGAAGCCTACCACCGGCAGACGTCCCCTCTGGTGCAGTACTACAGTGCCAGGGGTCTGCACACGGCCGTCGACGCTGCCCAGAACCCAAACGTAGTCTTCGCCTCCATCGTAGCCGCGTTCTCCGCCGCCACGGAAATGCCCGCTCGTGCCACAGCCTGTAAAGACCAAGTGTTCTTCATTTAAAGTTTTCCTTCTTTGCCGCATTGCCCTTCACCTGACTGTTTTCATGTTTTTTTGTTTTCTTTCCCCCCGCGTGGCGGAGATTATACAAGAGTGGATCGAGTGTCAGAGTGGCAACAAAATGTAACTTTGAAGTGTAAACGGGGAAGATGGAGACTCGGTGTGCCGTCACGGCTCAAGAAATTCAGCAGCAATGCATCATCAATGTTACAGGAACAGAGCGGATGTAGAATCGTTTTCGTTACTCTTCATCACAGAAGAAGCCAAAATAGAGCTCATCGATTAGCACCACACTGCTGCTTTTCACCGTAGAGATGTGAGAAGGTTTTGACATTTAAGCAGTGCAGAACGCCGTGCACGTTTGTATAGATGCTCCTCACCAGAGCGCATTTTGAAAATAATGACATTTGTTGCATATTGTTTGCCTTTGCTGGACAGGTTTGCTCTTGTTTAATCAATGGCTTTGCCCTTTTTTCTTCACCTTTTCTCCTAATGTTAGATTAGATCTTCTGTTTTTCCAAACCAGCTGTACTTGCTGCTCCTTCTTGTCCCTGAATGCATCTGAAGTGCAAGAAAAAGCAAAACCGGAAGTGGAGTGTGTCATAGTATGAATTATATTCTGATGTCAGAGGTCTGCAGACTGAACCTCTGCAGCAGGGTGCAGGGGGAAAGTTGAGGCACAGTAATGTTTGTGGCAACAGCCTCAGGTGTGTTCTGAAAACAGGAGGGTGAGTTCTTGGCCACAGATTGGCCCCGTGGCCAATGACGCACTCAAGTACACAATTAAGGTACTTTAAAACCCCCGTAGTGCCCAACTGCTGCAATTTGCATCAACAGCGATACTCACAACTCGCTCAGATCTAAACACGGGTATGATTGAAAGTCTACTTTTATATTTAGCATTGCTTTAACTTCTCAAGGCCATCTGTGTCTCTGAGACTCGCTGGTAATCAGATTTCCACTTAACTCTAATGGCAAAAAATTAAACGCTGCTTATAAGTTGAGCTTTACCTGACATAAGTTGCGTCATTGTTTAGCATCAATTTAATGCTGACATTTGCCAAAAATACAAAAATGAGTTTTGCAGTACAATTTATGCACCTATGTGTGAGTTTAAAGCTGTTTTCCCTCGTGTACTTCAGTCAGGTCAGCGTATTTTTCCACAGGGGGCCTTTTTCCCTCGCTAACTGTGAAAACACCAGCATGTTAGCTGAACCAGTCACAAATCTGCTCAGTCTGACACACACGGACTTAAAATGTTTTTAAACCGAGTCAGCAGATCAAGACTGGAACATCAGTTTGCTCTCATATTAGTGGTATTGCTTTCAGTGCTTAAAGGAAAAAAATAGCTTGTATCTTCACACTTTGACCGCCTCAGTTACTGATAAAGATCCTTAATGCACTTCTGTTTTCTATGCAGAAGACACTGTGCTTTACCTAAGGCTACGTCCACACCATCGTTTTCTCTCAGTTTTGGCCTCCCATCCACACATTGCTGCCCGCGGTGGGTGTGGTGCAGCACGCTGGCAGAGAGAAAAGCGCAAAAGTATGATTGCACTTCACTAGAGGTGATATTGGAAAGTACTTGTCGCCACAAGTCTTGAAGTTCTGCAGAGGCCTGGTAATGAGCTAATCATTTTATTCAGGTGTGTTGACCCAGGGTGAGATCTAAAACCTGCAGGACGCCGGCCATCGAGGCCTGGAGTCCGACACCCCTGGTCTAGAGCAGCTTGACAGTGGATCCAGAAATAGCGATCTATTGACATGTGGGAAAGTGTAGAACAAGACTCATTTGTGTTTCCTAATATAGTTTGCTACAGAAGTGATGACTCAGGAGTGGAAAGTGGACACTTCCTTCCCCCAAGTTGTTTCCCAGAACACACTTCATCTTTTTTACGTCGTAATACCGTTAATTTTTTAATCACTATGTACTTAACTGTGAAACAGGATGCTCACTTTTTGGCATGATGTCAGCTCAGCCTGTTAATACCAGTAATATTTTTGCAGCGTTTACAAAGTTTTGGTTCCAACATGTTGTTTCCTTGACGCTGATCCTGGAATTTTAATAGTTCGAACCGCTTCCAAGAATCTGTCAGATAATTTCACGTCTGAATCTGTGATGACTGATTTGCAACCAGATAACTGACATTTCAGTTTAGTCAGCATGTTTACTGCCGATGGGTAATTAGAAAAAAAACACTCTTGGGGTTTTTCTCTGGTGTTTAGTTCCTAAAATAACTGTGACCAAACTTTAAGAGTTCTGGGAAGACATGAAGACTTTTAGCGGCTATGATTAGGTTGTATGATAAAACACAATCACCTCGCCACTCTTGAGGTGTAATTTTTCAGCCAAAGCAGGGATCTGTTCATGCAAAACCTACTACCTGTACAGCTACAGATAACTAAGACTTGCAATGAAATGTTTAGCAGATAAAGAGCAAGATGGTTTCCTCTAGAGTTGGTCGAGACCAAAATATAGTTTAAAAAATGCTTGAATGTTCTTTGGCTGCAAGATGTGTAAAGAAGCAAGTGTTTTCTTACTGTCACTGTATCGACTTAAAAGGGGACGTGCTGTGCTAATTTCCAGTTTCATATTTACCTTAAACTGGGCTCAGTTCATCCACTGAATGAACTGAGCCGGTTTATCTCCTGCTTTTTTATCAGCTCATAATCAAGGCTTGAGCATCAGTTTTGTGGGGCTTCTGCGCGCCTGAGAAGACTAAATGAAACACATTTCCTCTCAGTGGCTTCAAACAGATCCAGGAGTACAAAGAAACATCTCTGAATTGGAGTTGTGTGAAGTCTGGGGACTTTTAAAGATATGAATATGTGCTATGTGTGGAGAAACATGCGTGCAGTAGTTGAAATTCGGGCCATATTTAATGAGCTTGCTGTGTGTATTTGCAACAGTGTGTGCTGTATATATGTGACAGAAAATGAGGAAAAGACACTACTGTATGTCAGTGTGTATAGTGATTCAGCTTGGGTCTGCTGCCCCTAAGTGGCACAAAATCACTTATTGCAGGGTTGATATGCAATGCAGTTCCACATTAAAGAGTCGTGAGCTAAACACACACAATGAAGCCATCTCAAGCTCCTTTTTTCCCCCCTCTTAAGATGCTTGTTTATTTTTTATTTTTTTACTTCAGAGGTCTGAAAATGGAGATCAAAAGTTACATTTTAACTGTGAACTTTATTTTTTTTAAACTTGTGTTTCTGCTGTGCTTCAGGCTCTCAGCACTGACATCACTTTGTGTGACGTCACAAGGATCAGACATGAGCTGAAGGACGATTGCAAAAACCTTAACAGTAGATACTACAAGGAAATGTTTTAAGTTCAGTCTTTTTTGTTTCTGCAGCTCCCAAAAGGTGTATTTTATATTTAACCTTTTGTTTTTGTTTTGATGGTGGCTGTTTCAGATCAAACAGTTGTGATCTAAAAGGAAAACCAGTAAAAGAAACGAACGCCTTCACACTAAATAGAGACTTCCAAAGAATACTGTTTAATCTCGTTTCATCTCATCTTGTTTCTGTAGTTTCCGCTTATTTTTATGTTCGCTGAAGCAGTTTTAGCTGTAAAACTTTTTTTTTTTCTTCTAAAAATGTTCTTCTACAAACAACAAAGCCTTTAGGTTTTCCAGTTGTATCCTCTTTGTGCGCTCATCCTTCACTCCTCTGTTCCTCCTTGACCTTTGGAGCCGCCTCCTTCCTCTGTAGTCACCTGGTGTTCAGTAGGAGCTTCTTGCATGCAGACTGTGTTACCTTCCTCTTTCCCTTGAATGCTGATGCATTTTTAGTCTCTCCCGGCTGTTGTGATGAAAAACGACAACAGATGTTTGGCGCTCCCGGGAGGCAGATTTCAGACTGTTACTCAACACAATGAGACGATTTCATGCTAAATTTACCTTAATATTCCATGCAGTGCTTTGTGATGCCTCCAATGCGTTTTGTCACTCTTTGAAAGCTGTAAATGTACACGTGCTATAGTTTAATCTGATTCAAAGTCTGGATGTTTTTGTCCACCTTAAATGCATTTTTTTATGGGCTTGTGAGATAGGCAGGTACATTTTGTTTGACCGAGGAAGCTTTGTTTTTGAAGTCATGCCTGGTTACGTTTTCTCTAGAAATTCACTCAAAACTTTTCTTTCCTTCTCCCCCTTGTCTTCCAGCTGGTTGAGTTCAGAGCTGCTTCATGCCCACCGAGGCGAAGGACTGGAGCTGGCAAACAGCTCAGGTGGGCAGAAAAACGGAGGGGAGGGGCAGGCAATAAGAGGGGACTCCTTAGACTGAATAAGTTAAGGTTGTTTTGGGGTTTTTGTTGCACATTTCTATTTCAAGTAGATCATGACAGGAATAAACAAAGCCATCTTGTTGTCACAATCCTCATGTTTTCCCTTCTAATAAATTTCCTGCTTTTCTACAATCATCAAATGTTGTGCGTTTTGTTTTTCACTCGAGTCTCAAATTCACTTGGCCTTTAATCCGAGAAATAAAATCATAAAATATCGTGTATGAGTACCGTGACATTTCATGCACATTTTCTATCGAGTGTCCGCACGTTTGTTGCTTGTCGTTTGACATATCATAACCTGAAGTGACACATAAAAAGGTTAGGGTTAAAGTCAGGCTATCAGTAATGGTGTGCAGTGAGGAATGAAGTGACTTCCTATTTAACAGTTCCACATATCACACACTGATGTCTGAAGGATCGAGGATCTATATGAATAATGAGAAATACACTAAATTGGACTTGCTCATAAGATGTTTTCAATTTATCTCAGAAGTTCAGAAATTGAAAACAACATATAGAAAATAGCCTAAAGGTAGCTCAGTAAAATAAATACAGGATTGCAAAATTGCTCAATACAGTAAAAGGACCTCGGTTAAACAGAGGAAAAGCTTGTTTGTTTTTAAAGCAGCGCAATTACCACAAGTCAAAGTAAAATAAATTTAAATACTGCATAAAATGACAAAATGGCTTATTTTTATTAAAAGAAATACAAATCTGGTAAGAATCGGTGAGTTTGTGCGTAAAAGTGATTGACAGAAACACTTATAATAATCCAAATATGATGAAATAAAGGTATAAATAATCACTTTCAGTTCAGAGCACGGCACAGTGGAACTCAGCTTGGTGAGAGGAGCCAGAGTTTCCACGACCATAGGCGCAAATCTGTCAGGGACACATCAAAGACGTCTCCTCATTAGGTTGGATGAAACTTACCATCCAACCTTTAATAGAGCTAAAGTACGTGTGCAACATCTGCTGCTTGAAAACATCTTGGAGCTTAAGAGTGACATATATGTGAATGTCATCTGCATAGCAGTGTTGGAAATTTTGATAAATGCTCAAAATGTGCTGAAGAGGAAACAATAAAGGTCCCAAAACAGGACTCGCACAATAGACGAGATGTGAAAGAGGACCTGAACTTGGTAACAATCGCTTTCTGTGGCTGTTTCTAATTTTTATTAATACTTTTTGATTTGATCTATAATTGATTAGACTTTATTTTTAAGCGTGAGTGACAGAAATGTGAAAAGAAGCAAGGACTTGGATCGGAAACCAATGAAGCATTGATTATAGTGAGCGCACCGAGGCCAACAGACTGAAAGACATATTTGGACAAAGGTGCAAGTACAAGGTCAAAAGAGCACGAGGATGTTTTTGTTGAATGAGTGATTTTTACCAACTTTCTAAAACAACAGACAAAGCAAACAGACACCAAAGATGGTGAAGGAGAATTTATATTTTTCACATTACTGCTTCTGTTTGTTATTGAAAAAATTACGAACGTAAGCATGCGGGTTAGGAATAATAATATCACTAACCGTGTTGAATAACCTGTCAGGTTTGCCTCTTACCTTTGAAATCTGGTTTGAAACATCGGCCTCACATCTCTCACTAAAAAAAGACTAACAGATCTTTTAGAGCAACACGTTAGCAAGAAAGTGAACTTGTGAACGCGTCGATCTCCACGAGCAAGAATGCTTTCATCATAAAACTGTCAATTATCCAAGAGAAAGATTATAAAACAGGAACTAGCATTATCTAAAATGGAAAGATAATGATTATTAACCTCTTAAGCACCCATGCACCCAAAGATGGGTGCAAAAGGGAGGAGATCATGAAACCACTGGGGCCTTAACAGGTTAAAAGATTTGTTTAGGGATTGTAATCACGGTAAGGTGTTTGCTTGCAGCCAGAAGGGTTTGTCTGAATCCCTGAACTCTACTCGAGGTGCTGAGCGAGCACTGCCTTAACATGTTGATCCGCTGAGTCATTCTGGGTCATTGCATATTATTTCACTGTGGTTTTCTTAAGAATGAAAACATTCAGTGGCCTTCCGTGCCCTGTAAATGGGGGCTTTTTCATTCTGGAAAAGATTGCTTAAGATGGAGACTGATGCTTGGATCCTATCACTGCTGCACAATCTAAGCAGGAAACTGTTGAAGTTAAGTTTTCCACTTGTTTTTGTTGTGATTAAAAACATGTTTTTTCTAACACAGGAAGGAAATGACAGGTTTCCGAGTCTTCGTGTAAAATATAATGAAGCTGCTGTCACTACACTGTTTCCACTTTGAGCTAGCATGGTGAAACTTTTCCCAGAGATGGTTAACACAGCCCTGTTTCTAAGGCAAATGTTAACTGAGCTGCACTGCGTCTTACACCCAAAACGTACCAGACTTGTTGGTCTATTTAAGTTGCACATGTGTGATGTTTAGTCATCATATTTGTAGGGAGTGATGAGCTCAGAGCCTTGACACCAAACTCTTAATAGTAATCCGCAGCTGTCATGAATCATCCCAAATGTGAGTTGTCTGACTGAGACGTCAAAAAAATACTAAACACATGAGTTAGTAGCAATAAACATGATCAAAGCTAACATGTAATTAATTTTAAACTTAAAAGTTGAAGCAAATTGGTTCTGTTTACCTTTTAACCCTCAACCATGAAGTCTGTACACCTCACACATAAAAAAAGTTTTGAACAAAGACTGAACTGGCTTTAAGAAGGAGACTTCATCAATGTGACAAAACTTCAGTTTGTCAGCAGCAGTTATCAACATAAATGCACAGGTTTTTAGGTGTTATCAGCTGTGCAGTCCTGTGAAAAACTCTTTTTCTTCTATAAGAATTAGGAAGATGAGTAGCAGCCAGGTGCATCTAATCAAATGCAGGAAAACAATCACCTGTGTGTTAACAAACCATCGCAATCTTAGACGTGGCAGCAAGTTCATCCCAAAATGCAATGCTCAGAAAAACTATGACAAACATAAGAGCTGCATCTCAGACTCCACAGACCTCAATCAGCATGTTAAATCTTAAAGCTCACGATAGCACAAATAGAAAAAGCCTAAACAAATATGATCTTAATATCTGACCGCATTGCACAGTAGGACATTTGACGAAACCCAAACATGGAATAAACACCTCATGTCAATGCAGTGCAAATGCAGTGGTGGAAAGGTGATTTAGCTGACTTTGCAGCTACAGGACCTGGTTACCTTGCGGTCATTGATTTGACCATGAACTTCTCCATATACCAAAGTATTCTAGAGTCAAAACTGACAACTAAAGCTTCTCTGAAACTGGGTCATGCAACAGGACAACGGTCCCAAGCTTTTTTGACTTTATCCTTTTTCTCCTGCAAATGAAGTCAGGTGAGTTGTTGATTCTAGTCTTAAATATTTAATGTACGGTAACCTGTTATTTTGTCTGAGATTATTTCACTGGTGCAGTGTGAACATGTCTGGATAAGTTGGAGGTTTAAAGACAGCACAATGATGGTATCAGTGTCTTGGAGCTTTTGTGTATATGTTACTGGTTTTCAGTAAAACTAGTGATAAGAAGCACAAAGCTGTTTTTTATTTTATCAGCCAGATAAAATAAAAAGAGCCTGGAAGTCGGCTTTATCAGTGATAAGCAGCAGATAAGGGCATGTGAACTTGTCTGAGCATAAAAATCACATGATCACTTTAACCCAAATGTCATGCCTGCAGCTTACCTGCAGCTTAGTCTGAAGCAGCAGCTGCATCCTGCAGAAGTCACCTAACCCTCTCTAGAGGTCACTGTTTCTGAGATTTGCTTGTAACTCCAATGTGAAAGTGCGTTTTTTTCCTTTTGTATTGTTGTAAACTGAAAATATTCAGTTACTGATCCTTCGCATTTAGACTAAGCATCAAATAAGTTTAACTTGTGAATTACAAAAAAATAAGAAAAAGGTTTTCTTTTTGGTCTTTACTCAAATAAAGACTTTTTTTGGAAACAGGAAAAGATGACACACATCTGGCATGACTCATACTGAAAACCTTTCCTCCTTTAATTGTAGGAAAAGGAGAGTAACCAATAAGAACAAAGAGGTTATTTTAGAAAAGCCGAGCACAGAGTAGTCACCCTGGATTATTGCAAAGCAGCACGTGGGCTCAAAGCAGTGACGGTTAACCCCTCAACATACACTTTCTTGCATTTTTATCCTGGTATTATATGTTCTTGCCATTGCTTTGGTTGCTCTTTGTTGGATCTAGGATTCTTTCTAATAAAACACAAACTATTAACTTGTATGGGGTAACGTCTAAGTTGTATTTTAAAGGTCAAATTATTTTTGGATCAAAAGGAATTTAAATCTTCTGAACTGTAAGCTTTAAATTGATTGTAACATAATTTTTTCCTCACAGATCCATATGTGTTTATATTATTTATGTTTACTCTGTAGTTTCTCTTGTAAGGTAACGTATGTAATGTGGGATTGCAACATTTCTGAATAGTTGTGCGTATATATCTATTGTGTCCTTCAAACAAAGCATGTCATAGTTATCTCCTGGTATCAGACTGCTTGTTGATGATATATGTTTGTATAAGATGTTATTTAAGACATGACATTCCAGTCATGTTTCCTACGTGAAGAAGTGTGGCTGGAATTCAAGGCTGTGTTTATTAATAGGTGAAACGATTACTCACTATTAGTATTTTGTTCTAAAATGAAAGTGGAATCATTTCAGGGTCTGGGGAAATATTTTCCTTCATCATCATTTCTTTCATCGTGTCTCTTTCTACCTCTCGCTCCGTCTGTTATGTTAGAAAGACTAACGTGTTTCTTTATCTGAGGTGACTCGATGAAAGCGTCCTATTTTCACATTTCGGTGAAAAGAATAGGAGCTCACTATAAAAAATGAATGAATGAATGAAATGTGCTCACTATAATGAATCCTTCACTGGTCTCTGATCAGGTCCCTGGTAATTTTAAGGATTCAGTCATTCAGCCACTTTTTAAAAACTCCAAGTTCGACCCGTCTCTTCTTGGCAGTTATAGATCCATCTCAAAAGTATTCCTAAAAACCGTTAATAATTGATCCTTTTCAGGCAGGCGTTGCAGCGCCACTTTATCACTTGGAGTCTCCAGCAACATCTTGATTGTACTGTTTCTGTTATATCTGCTGGCTTTTGAGTGATAAGAAACATAGACATTTGAGAACATATAAAGACCTTTCTTATCACTACTATGCAGATGACATCTACGCTATATATATCTCCCTTAAGCCACAATGTGTTCCTAGACTTAAAGGTTGGCTGGCTGCCACTTTTCTCCAACTTAGCGAAGCTCATGGAAACTTCAGGTTTCCTTACCACTAAATTACTTTACTAAAAGTTCTATGTGTAGGTTTAGACTCAGTCTTCACTTTGAATGCTTGTGTTAAATATCTGGCTTGGTGTTGTTTTTATGACTAATAGAGATATCATCGTGTCGCGCCTATATTTCATCACATCTGGGTTATTGATTCATTTTTCATTTGTCTTAGCAAAGCTTCATTGAGACATATTTTCTGTGAGACTTCTCACTGAGTCTTCTAAGCACCTAAAGGTCACTGACGCTCCACATTAACTACAGAATCCACTTTAACATTTCGGATTTGGCTTTTAGAGCCCTGCATGAGAGAGCACTACTGTACAACACTTTAAATTTTCATCCCCAGCAGAGGTCATGTGACCAGGGCCTGCTGGCTGTACAGCACAAGACTGAGAACTAGGAGGCTGAGCTTTGATAGCAGCAGAAACTCTGAAATGTGTGGACTCCATGATCTGTTTTTAAAAAGCGCCTAAAATCTTTTTACACTTAGTTTTGGGTAAATGTTTGTTTTGTGTTGTGAAGCACTTTGTGGTATTTATCTTCAAAGGCGCTGTAAATATGTCTTATCTGAAACATTTTGGCACAATAAACTTTTGTTCTCGGAGGGATTTCTGCTTCTGCTCACTGATGTGTTTAATAGAAATGAGTTCACCATCGTTTGGGATTTGGACCCAATGTGTTACCGACAGATATCTTAATAGATAAACATGGTGCTGCTGTGTTAGAGGTGGTAATCTAAGAAGCAGCTAAAGCAAATCTGTCCTTTTTATTTATTTATTTTTGCACATTTACAGTAAACTAGCCCTTGCGCCACGGGGAGGGGTTTCCACATTGACGGTGACGTGACGTCACCGGCCAGGGCTTTCCTCCATGACGTCAGGGGGCGGTGGGGCGGCAACCAGAGAGCGCGAGGCGACGCGGAGCGAGCTGCGGAGATTAGAGTTTTTGCGCTGCGCTCCCGGGGCGCAGGAAAATCAGAGTCCGCCGTCACCTGCCAGGAGACCCCCCGCCGAGCCCGAGAAGAGAGACAGAGGCTGGCACGGTAACGGAGGACGGTTTACACCCAGACTGTAGATCAGCGAGCCAAGCACAGGAGCACCGAAGCGGCCGCCGCATCGCTCCCCAGCCTCTCCTGTGGAAGAAATCCGGTCCTGAGCAGGGTGAGTGTCCGGTGATGAACCCTCTGCTGCATGAGCTGCTTAACAGACATGTCACGGATTTAAATGTGTCTCTGTATATATGAATGTATGAGATAAATAAAACAAAACTGGCCGTAGATCTGTTTGCCACTAAAATAACTGTTTTCTGAATGGTCATTCAAAAAGCCTGATAGTCACAGGTGAGCTCAAAGCAAACCATCCACGTTTTTGGAAAAATCTCAGTCATGTAGGCTGTTTAAATACAGCGAGGACGAGCCCAGCTGCTGCAGTGTAACCCTAAACTATGGAAGCAGAATGTCCAAGTCATCCTGAGAGTTAAAACGCTGCCCTGTCTTTGCCTTTAAAACACATTCCTGTCTGTTCTGCCACTCCCCGGTCACTCTGCTCTAAGGACACCGTGTATTTTCCATAAAAGATGGGAAAAAATACATTAAACATGACCGTGAAAACGAAGCTGGCAGCAGAAGCCTTACATGATAATAAAACGCAGTGTTAGAGGAGGTGTTACAGAAGCTTAGAGCTCCTCAAACACTCCTCACAGGAATATGAATATTTATGTTTTGGGGGCTTTTACTTCTGTTTCAGGCCAGATTTTCTGAACCGCCGGGGTGTGGTGACCATCACCAGCACCCCAGTGTAGGGTTTTCTAAAACGCTCAAACTAAAAGCAGCACAACCAAATACAAGCGAGCCAGCACAAACCGGTGCCCTTGCAGATGAATCAGATAAGGAGTTGAAATGAGTTGTAAATAATGACATGATTCAGTTCTGATGTTGGGATGAGAGCTCAGGCTTAATGAGGCATTCCCGTTTGTAAATAGTGTTTAAAGGCTTAAAGAAAAACTCTTTAACTGCCGTACTGGTCTTGGTGAATGACACATCAGATAGTAGATTTGCTTAGATTTACAGATTGTGATGGTGTTTCTTTTTTTTTTTCAAGTCACCCCTTAAATAACCAATACTAATATTTATCTTTTTATGACTGGAGTGCAGGTGAGTCAGCATGATGAGTTTGTTTTGATTCTTTGAATGTGGCATAGACGTGACACAGTCTGTAAATCTGGCTGGCTGGTTTTCGTAAAGTAGGCCTGTTATCAGTGTTGACCGGGCCTTTTACTAAACAGGAACTATTTCCTGCACATTGTTTTTATTCTCAGCGTGTATGATTCACATGTCAAAATGATTTTCACGTAATACGCAGCCTTTGTGCTTCACCTCAATCCATCATCTGCCTTTAAGACAACTTTCTTGTGATTGGCTAGCCCTCGTAAACAGAAGGTTTTACCAGCAGGTGGGTGAAGCTGCTGGGATGATAAACTGAGCATTTAGAGCAGTTTGAAGCCTGAGCTTTTGGCTCACAGGGATCAGTTGTACTCTTTTCATGTCTGTTATGCAACGAAATATTTATAACACACAATAAGGAAAAGCATAAAAACAAAGAGGATGCATAAAGTCAATTAATAGTCAATTATTACCTCTCCCAGAGCGTGATGATACCTTTGAATGGCCAGTGCTGTTTTGTTTTAAGGTCACATTTTGAATACCTTTCCCCATCCTAGAAAAAGGCAATATAGCCAGGATTTTTTTAATCCTTACGTTATATCAGATAAATTTTGTCAGTTAACCAAAAAAAGGGCCAAATATCAGTTAATATCATTTAATAACAGGTTTATTAAGGTGAACCTGTAAAATTAATAGCAGGAGAAAATGCCAAAAAATGCATGTTTGACATAGTTTGAGGCCACTAGAGTGCGCTGACAAATGTATTTTTTCTTCTGTAAAACGTTTTAAAGTCAGTCTAATTGTTTTTAAAATTTCAAAGATCTGTATTGACCTCGAGAAGCACATTCTGTTCTCTCTGTGTTTGCGTGGGCTTTCTCCAGGATCTCACATGTAGAGTCCATCAAAAAAAAGTACATGGGTAGTGTAGCCGAGTGCTGTTTTTAACTGTGGTTGTGGATAAGTGGAACTGGGCTGTTATCATTTTATTTAATGGACTGGACCAATGTGCCAAATGTAATCTATGTTTAATAGGATCAGTAGAATGGAGTCGAATCCAAAGCACCTGATTAGTGCAGCACTAAAAACACAGAGATGTAAAATAGTACTTTGAACACATCTGTTCAAGGAACTGTGTTTAAATTTTAATCTCTAATGTCTCGGTCTTCAGCTTGTTAGCTTTAAATGTTTTGTTTAACAAATCTATTTGCATACTGAGCTGCCTGGAAGCATCTCCAGAGACGTTTTACAGGACAGGTGCAGCTGTAAAAAAAAAATCAGTTATAGAACATTATTAAAACATTTAACAGTCTTAAATTTTTCACTGAAAAAGCCTTTCAAAGCAATAGGTAAGGAATATGGTGTCATCTGAACCAAACTGCATTAAGCACAGCATATTGTATGAAGAAGTGAAGTTAAAAAGTGTTACAAGTGACTATATTTGGAGAGGATTACCTCATCCACAGGAGTTTCAAGTTTCTGTGCCATTACGAGTTTCAGGTTACAGACAATAGCCGGGAATTACACCCTCAGATGGACTGTGTGTGTGTGTGTGAGCTGTTGTTTCCTCTCTGAAACCTGAATCCACTCATTCAGTTTACTACTACTGCCGCTCGCCCCGTCCCTCGCTGTGCGTGCCTCAGTTTGTGTGTTATGAGGAGATGCATAGGAGCTCAGAGGTTTCCTCTCAGTCACTGCAGCGGCTCTCGGCCTCACATTAAACATTCAACAACTCAGCAGTATGGCTCCTGAATGCTCCTCTAATTATAGAAGCTCCCAGCCTGATTCTCTCTACCTCCACCTTCCACTGCATCGCTCTGGACTCTCAGCGTACTTTATGTGTGTGCGTGTGTGTGGGAGAGGTGTTAATGAGCGTCAGTGGGAGAGAGAGAAAACTCAAACTCTCCATTTGTGTACCCATCTGCCTCCCCTGCTTGAATCCCTTAAGAATATCATTTTATGTGTTTCCAGATAGATAGATATTAGTCACTAAGACAGTATTTGTGGTAACTTTATCGAGCAGGGCAAATTCTTCGTTAGTCATTTCTTATAAATTGCAGTTATTACTCATCACTAGAGCTGATTTCTGTTCTTTGCCTGTCGACTGATTTATAGAAAATATCCGGTGTTAGTGTGAAGTAGAGCCAAAGTCAGTCAGCTAGCTAGTAAATTTGTCCATGAAGAGAATCTAAGTGGCAAATATTTTTAAAATGATCAAATCAAAATGCAAAAATTTAATGGCCAAACAATCAATCACTTAATTTGTACAGTATACTGCAGATAAAGAGAAAAGTGTTGTTACTATAGCCCTTAAGGCACTATAGGTCACATTTTCTAGCACGTTGTGGAAGCACAAGCTGGGTTTTGGTGTTTTAAAAAAAGTGCGTATAGGAGGTGGAAACTGTGAGATTTTTGCCACTGATTTGTTTTCGTTCCTTTCTGAAGGTGTGAAATAAAGAGAGGAGAACATTTAAATCAAGCACACAAAAAGATTTACTAACATTTACAACTGCAAATTGTGCCGATATTTAATGCCAACAAAGCAGCGCAGCTTCTGAAACTCACCTGTAAAACTAGCCACACCTATGAGTGCTAATGGGAGACTGTGCTCACACACCTTGGCATTAGTCTGGTTGCAAAGATCCAAAACAGATAAAACCACAAACTACAATTTAAAAAAAGAGTGAGAGCTAACTAAAACACTACTATGTACTCACAAAACTAACAAAAATAAAATGTAGTTTTATTTTTTGTCATATAGGGTGAATAGTCAACCATTCCAAGCACAAATCTTTTTGTTGCAGGAATATCTACATGAAGTGTTTTATTTCTATTGTATTGTCTAATCTGAGTTTCAGAAATCTTTGCAAATAAAGCTAAAACAAAGACTAAAAACTGAGCAAAACTAAACTGAAACTACCCACACTGGAAAGTAACTCAAACCTAAATATAAGACATAAAACTAATGATAAACTAAGTAACTCTGATTTCCAACACTCTTGGTTCGTATTTCGGAACGTTTCTCCTTCTGGCTCTGTTTTGGTCTCCACCACCTCCTGAGAGAATGGGTAGCAGTGTGGCTGCTAGCTAGTTTGCTAGCCAATTGCAACTAAAGTCAAACCAAAACAGTGACTCTGAAGGCTTCAGATCCAAAACAGCAGCTAAAAAGAAGCTAAAACACCAGCTTTAAATATTCAGGTTTACTGTACAGTCTTAACCTTAAAACCATATCTAAACATTTAACCACAAAGAATAATAAACCAAGTAGCTATTAAAATGAATCTCATGCCTGGTTGCTCTCAGTATCAGGTTATGTCTGCACCAAAGTCCCAAACTGATGCCTAACCTTAATTATCAAATGTATGACACTAATAGTTCCTGAACAAATTATTCTGCATCTTCAGTAATCAGTAACAGGCCTTAGAGACGGATTGATAGAAAGATTAGAGGCACAGAGTGAATGCAGCAGCAGTAAAGTGCTGATATGGAAAGTGGCCAACAGCGTTGTCCAGTTCCAGAGAAAAAGGGAGTGGGAACAGAATAAATAGATGGCACAGCTTCATGCGGGTGATTCAAATATTTTATTCTATTCAAATTCATTTCACAAGGAAGGAAGCTCAACTTTTTAATCTGCTTCTTGTTGTGGTGCCATGTGAATAGATGACCTTTTTAAAATTTACCTGAAGCTCTCTTCATTAATCAGACTTTCTGTAATTCACGGGATGCAGAGTTTGTCGTCTGTTTTAAGATGTTTCCTTTCTTTGTCTTTGAGAGTTCTGACTCTCTGTGTTAATCCAAAATTCAATAAAAATATCAGTCATTAAAAAAGAAAGCAACAAGCTTAGGGTGAGCCAAATTTGACAAGCTGTTTGTAAATGTTCTCAGGGGAGAGGCTTATATAAACACACACACACACACACACGTGTACACACACACACACGCGCGCACACTCTGATAGTATGCAGGTCTTGTGTGTGTGCTCGTTTCCAAGGAAGAGGCTGT